ACAGTCTTAGCACACGTCAGTGCACTGAGATACAGTCTTAGCACACGTCAGTGCACTGAGATACAGTCTTAGCACACGTGTTGGATTTTATAGTAAACAAGGACTTACAAGAATTATCTCGACGACGCGAAGGTATTGCGTTAATATTACAAAGTATTTGGAAACTTCTTGGAGCAGTGTTCTTGACAGCATTTGCAATTTGGACGTTGTACGACGATGGAAAAGTTGATCCTCATTATGAGAAATTGATGTACTTGGGTGCAGGATTCTGTACCGGTGGTTTTATCGCGAAAATCTCTCTTGCCATTTGGATGACGTATGTCACAAAAAAGAAGCTAAACGATATACATCATAGCTTGGATGCGGAATCTTTATTCTCATACATCATGTCTTTATCGTCATTGAAAACTGCTGTAGTTTGCTATGCTGCCACGACATACCCAGAAAATGAAGACAAAATATACAGCGTAACTCTCTCCACCCAATCCTACACCCAAGTTCCCATCTCAATCAAGTTCCCATCTCCTCTTATAGATCAATAGAGCTGGAGCCATTGCTGAGATATGTATAGCTTTTATATCAATGTTACTCATAGTTAGAGATGTGTATATGATCCGTAAGATTTAGTACCGGAAGATTTAGTACCGGAAGATTTAGTGTGCATTCATTGTGCACACATTTTTTATAGGGTACTAAACATTATAGTTACTTTTGTATTCATTAAGTTATCCGACAACAATGAAAATATGGATAAATTTATAACGGGATTTAGTGAAGGGAATCTGCAACATGACCTTTCCAACAATCCCCAACCTGATAGAACAACTACTGAACCTAATAATGTCAATGAGTTGGATGTCAATGAGTTGGATGTCAATAAGTTGAATGTCAATGAGTTGGATGTCAATAAGTTGAATGTCAATGAGTTGAATGTCAATGAGTTGAATGTCAATGAGTTAGAAGCTAATAAGGTCAAAGTTCCTTACGGATCTATGATTCAAGATGCGTCTGGTAG